CACAGACACACAGACAGACACACAGACAGACACACAGACAGAGAGACAGACACACATACAGACAGAGAGACAGAGAGACAGACACACAGACATACCGACAGAGAGACAGACACACAGACAGACACACAGACATACAGACAGACAGAGAGACAGACACACACACAGACAAACAGACAGACAGACAGACCTCGTGCAGTGAGCACTACCCTGGCGATTGATCATGGCTCTCATTCAAGGACGGACCGGGAACTGGATTTGAATTCCACCGGCAGGGCCAGCACGGCTCGGCTCTGCAGTGGAAAGTTCCACTACCACAAGGCACAGCCAAAGGTACCCCCCACTGCCCAACTGCGTAGCCTCGGGGCAAGTGCTGTTAGCGATCAGCAGCAGCGGCATCACCTGTGAAGGCCGCCAAACGGAACACGTTGAGGCGGGATGGGTGGTACAGCCACCACCGCGCCCGGCCGCCTTTGTCTTCCCCCCAGTACAAAAACCCAGGGGGAGTCTGCCTGTGTTGGAACACTGTCGGGGGCAAGACCAGTTCAGATAATCGTCACTTGCGTTGGCCGTGAATATGAATCGAAATCGGGCTCTAATGCAACCACCACTCCCCATACAGGGAGACAGATGGGGGGGGGGGGGGGGGTGTTAGATATGCAGAGATGATTGATACAGCGAGATAGATCGATGCCGAGGGAACGACAGATTAGACACAGAGCTGCAGAGATATGGAGAGATACTGAAAGAGAGAGAGAGAAATACAGAGATACCTAACGAGGCAGATGGAGATACCGAGAGAGAGAGACACACAGAGATAGACACACACAGAGACTCATAGAGACACACAGAGACTCATACAGATACACAGATATAGATAGAGACACACAGATACAGAGACACACAGAGACACACAGAGACACACAGACACACACAGACACAGATACACAGAGAGACACACAGACACACACAGAGACACACAGAGACACAGATACACACAGAGACACAGAGACACACAGAGACACACATAGACACACAGAGACACATAGAGACACATAGACACACACAAAGACACACAGAGAGACACAGAGACACAGAGACGCACAAAGACGCACAGAGACGCACAGAGACGCACAGAGATACACAGAGACACACAGAGACACACAGAGATACACAGACACACACAGAGACACACAGAGACACACAGAGATACACAGAGACACACAGAGACACACAGAGAGACACAGAGACACAGAGACGCACAGAGACACACAGAGATACACAGAGACACACAGAGACACAGATACACACACAGAGACACACAGAGAGACACAGACACAGAGACACACAGAGACACAAATAGACACACAGAGACACACAGACACAGAGACACACAGAGACACAAATAGACACACATAGACACACACAGATACATAGAGACACACAGAGACATACACAGAGACACACAGAGAGACACAGAGACACACAGAGACACACAGAGATACTGTATATATATAGAGATGTGTACAGAGATAGCGATGCACACATCCTATCGGTCGATGGTGTAGAGAGTGATTCCGTACACACACAATGTGCCATGAAGCAGGGGCATTGCCCGAAACGTCACATTATAGATATTCTTTTTTCCTTTCAAGGCCGCAACGTTAGTATTAAGTAACACGTTACATACGCACTGGGAGGGGTAAGTGCTGTTAGCGAGCACCTATTAAGGCCGGAGCGGTACACACCCCCCCCCCACCAGATGTTAAGGCTGAGTCGACCTAGACGGAAGCCGCCTATGACCCGTTCGGATATTTATCCACCAGCGGTGGTTGTCCGCGAGCTGGAATCGAACTCCGTTGTCCGGGGGCTCCGTAGCGCTAACCGCAGCGCGCTAACCGCTGCGCCACCGTTCCGCCCACGCAACGCAAAGGCAAAGGTCCCCCGTGTAGCCTCAGCAGACTGCCGGGGCAAGAGCTGCTAACGAGAAGGCCGGCACGAGGTGGTGGGGTTGCCAGCCGCCGTGCCCGGCCGCCTTTGTCTCCCCTCCCCCCCCCCTAATTTTGAGGCCGAGTCGACCTAGGGGAGGCCCACGACCGGCCCCGGATGATTTGTCAGTGGCGACTTTGGGGGGCCCGTGAGCTGGAATTCGAACTCGGATCCGTCGCCCGGGGGGGGGGGGGGGGGGGGGGGGGCTCCGTAGCGCAGCGCGGCGCTAACCGCGGCGCCACCGCTCCTCCTACGCAAGGCGAAGGCAAAGCTGCTCCTGGTAGCCTTAGCAGACTGTTGGCAAAGTGCTGTTAGCGAGCGCCTATTACGGCCTTTATCTCCACCCACCCAGGTATTGCGTAAGTCTCACAATCAACCTCCAAGCGTCGACGACCAATCATCAAACCACGACTACCGAGGTCGATAAAATCACGGTACCAATTTTCGATTTTTAAGCTTTCGTGACTGCAGGGATTCATCTTCTTGGTTCTTTCGGTAAAGTCACGTAGAAGGGAAGTAATAAAAATAATAAAAATAAAACATCATAAAATAATTCTCACGACGTTTCTGAAGACGGCTGCTTGCGTTGTGGCCGAAACGTCGTGAGAATTATTTTATTATGTTTCATCATTTTATTATTTTATTATTTTCCTTCTACGTGACTTTACCGAAAGAACCAAGAAGATCTAGATACCACTTTGCTGCTTGCCGTCACCGATATGATGGACCCCCCCCCCTCCTCCTCCCTCCCTCCCGGCAAGGGAATGTGGAATTGCCACCACGGGTGGGGCTGGCTCGGGGTATCAGGCGCTTCGAGATGACCACCACGGCGTAGCCCGGAGCGGTGGTGCAGGTAGCGTTGGGGAGACAAAGGCGGCCGGGCCTGTTGTTGTTGGTTACACCCCACACACACACCCCTTGCCCGCGCCCCACAACAATCTGCTGAGGCTACACGGTGGAGGAGGGCGCCTTTGTCTGTGCACGTGTCTCGTACACAACACGTGCGTGTGTGTGTGTGTGCACGTGTGTGTGTGTGCACGTGAGTGCGTGTGTGTGTGTGCACGTGTGTGTGTGTGTGTGCACGTGTGTGTTGTGCGTGTTTGTGTGTGCACGTGCGTGTGTGCGTGTGTGTGTGTTGTGCGTGTGTGTGTGTGCACGTGCGTGTGTGCGTGTGTGTGTGTTGTGCGTGTGTGTATGTGTCTCGTACACACGGCGTCCTGCTGTGTGCGTGTGTGTGCGTGTGTGTGTACGTGCGTGTGTGTGTGCACGTGTGTGTGTGTTGTGCGTGTGTGTGTGTGCACGTGAGTGCGTGTGTGTGTGTGTTGTGCGTGTGTGAACACGCGCGTGTGTATGTGTCTCATACACACGGCGTCCTGCTGTGTGTGTGCACGTGCGTGTGTGTTTGCGTGTGTGTGCACGTACGTGTGTGTGTTGTGCGTGTGCGTGTTGTGCGTGTGTGTGTGTGTGCACTTGCGTGTGTGTGTGTGCGCGTGTGTGTGCACGTGTGCGTGTGCGCGCGCGCGTGTGTGCGCGCGCGTGTGTGTGTATGTGCACGCGCGTGTGTGTGTGTATCAGATGTGTGTGTGTGTGCACGTGTGTTTGCGTGTGTATGCTCGTACGTCTGTGTGTTGTGCGTGTGCGTGTGCACTTGCGTGTGTGTGTGCGCGTGTGCGCGCGCGTGTGTGTGTGCACTTGTGTGTGTATGTGCACGCGCGTGTGTGTGTGTATATCAGATGTGTGTGTGTGTGTGCACGTGTCTCGTACACACGGTGTCCCGCTGTGTGTGTGTGTGTGCACTTGTACGTGTGTGCAAGCGTGTGTGTGTGCACGCGCGTGTGTGTGTATGTTGTGCGTGTGCACGTGTGTGTGTGTGCACGTATGTGTGTGTGTGTTGTGCGCGTGTGTGTTGTGCACGTGTGTGTGTGTGTGTGCACGTGTGTGTGTGCACGTGTGTGTGCACGTGTGTGTGTGTGCACGCGCGTGTGTGTGTGTGTTGTGCACGTGTGTGTGTGCACGCGTGTGTGTGTGTGCACTTGCTTGCGTGTGTGTGTGCACGTCTGTGTGTGCACGTGTGTGTGTGCGTGTGTGTGCACGTGTGTGTGTCTGTGCACTTGCGTGTGTGTGCACGCGTGCGTGTGTGTGTGCACGTGTGTGTGTGTGTGCGCACTTGCGTGTGTGTGTACGCGTGAGTGTGTGTGTGCACTTGCGTGTGTGTGCGTGTGTGTGTGCACGTGTGTGTGTGCACGTGTGTGTGTGCACGTGTGTGTGTGCGCACTTGCGTGTGTGTGTACGCGTGAGTGTGTGTGTGCACTTGCGTGTGTGTGCGTGTGTGTGTGCACGTGTGTGTGTGCACGTGTGTGTGTGCGCACTTGCGTGTGTGTGTACGCGTGAGTGTGTGTGTGCACTTGCGTGTGTGTGCGTGTGTGTGTGCACGTGTGTGTGTGCGTGTGTGCACTTGCGTGTGTGTGCACGCGTGCGTGTGTGTGTGCACGTGTGTGTGTGTGTGCGCACTTGCGTGTGTGTGCGTGTGTGTGTGCGTGTATGTGTGCACGTGTGTGTGTGTCTGTGCACTTGCGCGTGTGTGCACGCGTGCGTGTGTGTGTGCACGCGTGCGTGTGTGTGTGCACGTGTGTGTGTGCACGTGTGTGTGTGCGTGTATGTGTGCACGTGTGTGTGTGCGTGTGTGTGCGTGTGTGTGTGTGTGCGTGTGCGCACTTGCGTGTGTGTGCACGCGTGCGTGTGTGTGTGCACTTGCGTGTGTTTGCACGCGCGTGTGTGTGCACGCGTGCGTGTGTGCACGTGTGTGTACGCGTCTGTGTGCACGTGTGTGTGTGTGTGTGCGCGTGTGTGTGTGCACGTGTGTGCACATGTGTGTGTGTGCACGCGTGTGTGTGTGTGCACTTGCTTGCGTGTGCGTGTGTGCACGTGCGTGTGTGCGCGTGCGTGTGTGCACTTGCGCGTGTGTGTGCACGTGTGTGTGCGCTCGCGTGTGATTCAAAATCCGCGCAGCTCACCTGCGAATCGCGTTTTCAGAGTCGTCCAAACTGCGCGTACCATCCTGACGTGTGCCGAGCAGAGCCACTCGGCCACCTACTCCTCAGAGCAAGCGCCCACTCAGCAAGATCATCACCTTCCCAGTCAGATGTCGGGGGTCCTCATCAGCTGCTCATCCAGGCACTCAGTTAGCAGTGTCACTCACGCGGCCCTCTGGCGCCGAATCGTACGCTGAGCGCAGGCATTCGTGTGAATGCTCAATCGGAGAGTCGGGTGACTCAGGCAGGTAGTCGTCGGTCAACCTCGCAGGCAGGCGAACAGGCAGGGCGAGATAGTCACAGGGGCAGGCGGGCAGGCTGGCTCGTGGATTGATAGGCAGGCAAGCCAGACAGGCATATTGACAGTCAGTCAAATGGTCGGGCGGGCAGTCAGTGAGTCGGCCAGTCGTACAATTAGTCAGGCGGTTAGTCAGACGGTCAGTCAGGCAGTCAGTCCGGTGATCGGAGGATCAGACGGTCAGTCAGACGATCAGTCAGACAGTCAGCCAGTCGAACAATCAGTCAGTCAGTCGGACAAGCAGTCAACCAGTTGAGGAATCAGACGGTCAGTCAGACAGTCAGTCAGTCGAACATTCAGTCAGTCAGTCAGTCGAACAATCAGCCAGTCAGTCGAGGAATCAGACAGTCAGTCAGACAGTCAGCCAGTCGAACAATCAGTCAGTCAGTCGAACAATCAGTCAACCTTCCGAGGAATCAGACGGTCAGTCAGACGGTCGTTCGGTCAGTCCGCCAGTCGGCCAGTCCGTCAGTCGGCCAGTAGCTCCTTAGTCGTCCAGTCCGTCAGTCGGCCAGTCCGTCAGTCGGCCAGTCCGTCAGTCGGCCAGTCGCTCCTTAGTCGGCAGGAGTCCGTCTCGCGGGCGACTCGAGGGCGCAGAGATTCTGAAGGGCATCGTGTGTGCGGGAGAGAGAGAGAGAGAGGTCTGTTCACGAACGCTCTCCCCCCCTTTCACGCTCTCCCCCCCTTCTCCCCCTCTCCCCCTCTCTCACCCCTCTCTCTCTCCCCCCCCTCTCACGCTCTCTCCCCCCCTCTCACGCTCCCCCCCCTTCTCCCCTTCTCCCCCTCTCTCACCCCTCTCTCTCCCCTCTCTCTCCCCCCTCTCTCTCCCCCCCTTCTCCCCTCTCTCACCCCTCTCTCTCCCCCTCTCTCCCCCCTCTCTCTCCCCCCCTTCTCCTCCTCTCCCCCTCTCTCCCCCCTCTCTCTCCCCCCCTTCTCCCCCACCTCTCCCTCTCTCTCCCCCCTCTCTCCCCCCCTCTCCACGCTCCCCCCCCCTCTCCCCCCGCTCCCTTCCCCCCCCCCCTCTCACGCTCTCCTCCCCCCCTTCTCCCCCTCTCCCCCTCTCCCCCTCTCTCTCCCCCCCTTCTCCCCCTCTTCTCCCTCTCTCCCCCCCCCCCTTCTCCCCCTCTCCCCCTCTCTCACCCCTCTCTCCCCCTCTTCCTCCCCCTCGTTCGCCCTCTCTCTCCCCCCCCCTCTCACGCTCTCTCCCTCTCTCACCCCTCTCTCTCCCCCCCTTCTCCCCCTCTTCTCCCTCTCTCTCCCCCCCCCCCTTCTCCCCCTCTCCCCCTCTCTCACCCCTCTCTCTCCCCCCCTTCTCCCCCTCTTCTCCCTCTCTCTCCCCCCCCCCCTTCTCCCCCTCTCCCCCTCTCTCACCCCTCTCTCTCTCCCCCCCCTCTCACGCTCTCTCTCCCCCCCTTCTCCCCCCTCCCCCTCTCTCACCCCTCTCTCACCCCTCTCACGCTCCCCCCCCTCTCCCCCCGCTCCCTTCCCCCCCTCTCTCCCCCCTCTCCCTCTCTCCCCCCCTCTCTCCCCCCTCTCCCCCCCCTCTCCCTCTCTCCCCCTCCTCTCCCTTCCCCCCCTCTCTCGTTCTCCCCCCCTCTCCCCCTCCTCTCCCCCCCCTCTAGCTCCCCTCTCCCCTCCCTCTCTCGCTCCCCCCCTCTCCCCTCCCTCTCCCCCCCTCTCTCTCCCTCTTTATTTGTCTCTCTCTCCCGTTTATCTCTCCCCTTTCCTCTCCCCTCTCGCACTACGCGGGCACCACAGCCGCATCTCTCCCGCTCGCTCGCGCTCTCTCTCTCGCCTGCCGACGGAGACGTGGTCCGGGGAAGCTCCTGGATGTGGTGTGCCGGGTGGCTCCTAGTCATCTCTCTCTCGCAATCTCTCTCTGTGTCTCTCTCCTCTCTCTCGCAATCTCTCTGCGTCTCTCTTGATCTCTCGCTATCAATCTGTGTCTCTCTATGTATCTATTATCTCTCGCTATCTCTCTTGATCTCTCTCCTCTCTCTCGCTATCTCTCTGTGTCTCTCTGTGTATATATTATCTCTCGCTATCTCTCTTGATCTCTCTCCTCTCTCTCGCTATCTCTCTCTTGATCTCTCTCCTCTCTCTCGCTATCTCTCTGTGTCTTTCTCCTCTCTCTCGCTATCTCTCTCTGTGTCTCTCTCCTCTCTCTCGCTATCTCTCTGTGTCTCTATGTATATATTATCTCTCGCTATCTCTGTGTGTCTCTCTCCTCTCTCTCGCTATGTCTCTGTGCCTCTCTATGTATATATTATCTCTCGCTATCTCTCTGTGTCTCTCTCCTCTCTCTCGCTATCTCTCTGTGTCTCTCTCATCTCTCTCGCTATCTCTCTGTGTCTCTCTCATCTCTCTCGCTATCTCTCTGTGTCTCTCTCATCTCTCTCGCTATTTCTCTTGATCTCTCTCTCGTTATCTCTCTGTGTCTCTCTCCTCTCTCTCGCCATCTCTCTGTGTCTCTCTATGTATATATTATCTCTCACTATCTCTCTGTCTCTCTCATCTCTCTCGCTATTTCTCTGCGTCTCTCTCCTCTCTCTCGCAATCTCTCTGTGTCTCTCTCATCTCTCTCGCTATCTCTGTGTCTCTCTATGTATATATTATCTCTCGCTATCTCTTCTCTATCTATCTATTACACTGGTCAACAACAAAAAAAACATTTTTTTCTGGCCTGGACTTTTGCAGCTGTTCTAGACTAATTTCAGGGTGCTGATTCCAAATCTGATCTCAGATTTGCTCTATCACATCTCATTTTTATGCTATCGGCATACCCCATTTTCATTGATTTTACCCGAAATTAACTCTGTCACATATGATTGCAAGTCGTTGCGAGTCAGTGACTGCTTTAGTGTTAAAATATGGCGCTGTATTTTTAGGATAGTGTGTTTATAATATCATTTTTGTAGATATCTACATACCTGAGGACGGCTGCTTGTGTTGTGGCCGAAACGTCGTGAGAATTATTTATTATGTTTTATTTTTATTTTTTTATTACTTCCCTTCTATGTGACTTTACCGACAGAACCAAGAAGATATCCACATTTATTCCATATTTTTCTTCCGCAGTTTTTATTCAAAATGCAATATTTGTTATCTCAAAAACCTGATGTGATAGACAAAAACTGATGCCAGATTTGGAATCAGCACCCCAAAATTACCTTAAAACCGCTGGAATACCTTACGCCAGAAAAAAGTGTATTGACCAGTGTTAATCTCTCTAGCTCTCTCGCTATCTTTTTATCTCTATATATTTTTTACGATGCAGAGGAAACAAGAAGATGTCCGGTGTAGTCGGCACTTTGATTCGTTCATCATTTATTTTTTAAAAGTTTTTTTTCAATGCTTTGCTATATATGCCCCCGCCGCCCCCCCCCCCCCCCCTTTTTAAATGAAATATTTCAACGCTCTGCTCTCCTCTCTCCATTCCATATCTCACGTCTTTCATTCACCCCCTCGCTACCCTCTCCTAACGCTCCCCTCCCTCACTCCCCTCTCGCTATTATCTCTCCCTATCTCTCCCTATTTCTCTCTTTTTTTACGATCAGTGGAAACAAGAAGATGCTCGGTGTAGTCGGCACTTTGCTTCGTTCATCATTTCGTAATTTTTTTTTTTTATAATAACTTTGCTTCATGTAAACCCCCAACTCTCGCTCACTCTCTCGCTCACTCTCTCGCTCACTCTCTCGCTCACCCTCTCGCTCACCCTCTCGCTCACTCGCTCACCCTATCGCTCGCTCTCTCGCTCACTCTCTCGCTCACTCGCTCATTCGCTCACCCTCTCGCTCACTCTCTCGCTCACTCTCTCGCTCACTCTCTCGCTCACTCTCTCGCTCACTCTCTCGCTCACTCTCTCGCTCACCCTCTCGCTCACTCGCTCGCTCTCTCGCTCACTCTCTCGCTCACTCGCTCACTCGCTCACCCTCTCGCTCACTCTCTCGCTCACTCTCTCGCTCACTCTCTCGCTCACCCTCTCGCTCACCCTCTCGCTCACTCTCTCGCTCACTCTCTCGCTCACCCTCTCGCTCACCCTCTCGCTCACTCTCTCGCTTACTCTTTCGCTCACTCTCTCGGTCACTCTCTCGCTCACTCTCTCGGTCACTCTCTCGCTCACTCTCTCACTCACTCTCTCGCTCACCCTCTCGCTCTCTCGCTCGCTCACTCTCTCGCTCGCTCTCTCGCTCGCTCTCTCGCTCGCTCGCTCACTCTCTCGCTCACTCTCTCGCTCACTCACTCTCTCGCTCACCCTCTCGCTCACTCTCTCGCTCACTCTATCGCTATCTCTCTCTTCCTCTTCCCGTGTGTATTTTGTCGGGGGAATGGAATTGAAATGTCCTTCTGCTCTCCGTGTCACTTGGCGTGTGTACAGTCCCTCCTTGTAGATTGAGATCAATCTTTGAGTCTCTCTTTCTCTCTCTGCAGATCTCTCTCCCTGTAGCTTTTGCTTAGCGCTCTCTTTTTTTTACGATGCAGAGGAAACAAGAAGATGCTCGGTGTAGTCGCCACTTTGCTTCGTTCATCATTTCGTTGTTTTTATGTTTTGCTTTATGTACCCCCACCCCCTCCTCGCTCTGCCCCCCTCCCTCTCTCTCTACCCCCTCTCTTTTTGTTCTTTTTTTCTTTTTTTTTACGATCAGTGGAAACAAGAAGATGCTCGGTGTAGTCTGCACTTTGCTTCGTTCATCATTTCGTAATTTTTTTTTACTTTGCTTTATGTAAATCCCCACCTCTCGCTCACTCGCTCTCTCGCTCGCTCTTTTTTATTTTTTTTCTATTTTGTTTCTTTTTTTTTACTAAAACAAGTGCTGCATCTGCACGTAGCCCTTCTCGCCCGCTCTCTCACTCTCCACGCCTCCTGATTTACACACTCGTTGCTCTCTCACTCACTTTCTTTCTCTCTGTGTGTGTGTGCAGATATCTCGGTGTTGATATCTCTCCCCTGATGTCTATTGCGATTTTTCTATCTCTCGCTCCGCTCTCTCACTCTCACACTCTCTCATTCTCTCACTCTCACACTCTTACTCTCACACTCTCTCACTCTCACACTCTCTCACTCTCTCACTCTCACACTCTCTCATTCTCTCATTCTCTCACTCTCACACTCTCTCACTCTCACACACTCTCACTCTCTCACTCTCTCACTCTCACACTCTCTCACTCTCTCACTCTCACACTCTCTCATTCTCTCATTCTCTCACTCTCACACTCTCTCACTCTCACACACTCTCACTCTCTCACTCCTCTCACTCTCACACTCTCACTCTCTTTCATTCTCTCACTCTCACACTCTCTCACTCTCCACGCCTCCTCATTTACACACTCACTCTCTCACTCTCAGTGGAAACAAGAAGATGCTCGGTGTAGTCGGCACCTTGCTTCGTTCATCATTTCGATTTTTTTTCTCACTCTCTCGCTCACTCTCTCGCTCACTCTCTCGCTCACCTCGCTCACTCGCTCGCTCTCTCGCTCACCCTCTCGCTCACTCTCTCACTCAATCATCTCACACTCACTCGTCTCTCTCTCTCGCTCGCTCTGTGCCTCGCTCTCTACGCTTCGAGGTTCCTTCACTGAACAACGGCGTCTCAGCGTCTCCACGGGGAGC